GTGGTTCAAGCCCATCCAGGCACGAATTAGGCATTTCGCTGCCTTGCAACTGCTAACACGTGCACTGGACATAGATCCTGGGCCACATTCTGTCCAGCGTTACAAGATGAAATCAGGATTTAGCAGAAGATTGTCATGGGTAGGGAAGGTATTACTGTAAATGGTTTCAGGTTCCTAAAAGACCTTCTCATCATCCCTGCTAGCTCAGTCGATAGAGCATGAGACTCTTAATCTCAGCGTCGTGGGTTAGAACCCCACATTGGGTGTTTCTGTTACCTCTCTTTCTCTCAGCAAACTATCATTAGGGTTCATATAGCAGACCTTTTGAGACAAAGTTCCGCGTTTCTACCACTGTAGGTGACCTTTTACTAAGTCTCTGTGGTGCAATCGGACTGCGTTAGGCTGTTAACTGAAAGGTTGGTGGTTCAAGCCCACCCAGGGACGGATCAATCATTTTGCTGCCTTGCAACTGCTAACACGTGCACTGGACAGAGATCCTGAGCCACATTCTGTCCAGCGTTACAAGACGAAATCAGGATTTAGCAGAACATTGTTACGGGTAGGGAAGGTATTACTGTAAACAGTGTTTAGCTCTTAAAAGTTCATCTCATCAGCCCGGCTAGCTCAGTCGGTAGAGCATGAGACTCTTAATGTCAGGGTCGTGGGATTGAGCCCCACGTTGGGCGTTCCTGTTACTTTTCTCTCTCTCTCCCAGCAAACTTACATTAGGGTTCATGTAGCAGACTTTGAGACAAAGTTCCGCGTTTCTATCACTGTAGGTGACCTTTCACTAAGTCTCTGTAGCGCAATCGGTTAGCGTGTTCGGCTGTTAACTGAAAGGTTGGTGGTTCAAGCCCACCCAGGGACGAATTAGGCATTTTGCTGCCTTGCAACTGCTAACACGTGCACTGGACATAGATCCTGGGCCACATTCTGTCCAGCGTTACAAGATGAAATCAGGATTTAGCAGAACATTGTCACGGGTAGGGAAGGTATTACTGTTAACAGTGTCTAGTTCTAGTGGGGACTCCTCATCCGCCTGGCTAGCTCAGTCGGTAGAGCATGAGACTCTTAATGTCAGGGTCGTGGGTTCGAGCCCCACGTTGGGCATTTTTGTTACTTTTCTCTCTCTCTCTCAGCAAACTTACATTAGGGTTCATATAGCAGACCTTTTGAGACAAAGTTCCGCATTTCTACCACTGTAGGTGACTTTTCACTAAGTCTCTGTGGCACAATCGGTTAGCGCGTTCGGCTGTAAACTAAAAAGGTTGGTGGTTCAAGCCCACCCAGGGACAGATCAATCTTTTTGCTGCCTTGCAACTGCTAACACGTGCACTGGACAAAGATCCTGGGCCACATTCTGTCCAGCGTTACAAGATGAAATCAGGATTTAGCAGAACATTGTCATGGGTAGGGAAGGTATCACTGTTAACAGTGTCTAGACAAAGTTCCGCGTTTCTACCACTGTACACAGCAAATTCATTGGTGTTAAATTTCAAGTGTTGTGGTAATTCAGAGTAAAGTGTTAAAATTGTAGAGTTAGATAAAGGTAAAATAACCCTCTCGGCGTTAGAAGCTGATTTGCCTCCTTGTCACACAGAGTAACATGTATCTACCTTTGTAGAAAACCCTTGTATTTGAGAAACTAATCAGAGTGTCTGAAATCTCGCCACACCCTCATTCACCTGGCCCTTAAATTAGTCAATTAGTTTAGTCCACTAGACAGAGGGAATGACCACAAATAAGTGAATTCAGACACCTGCTGTTGAACACCTGCTGTTAACAAGCACAATCACTGAAGGAAAAAGAAATTGAAGGAAGAAATAAATCTACAGACACAGCCTCACACCAAACCAACTGAATTAAAACAGAGGATTAAACAACTCCATTAAATAATAGCATAAGCAGCTTCACTGATTACAGTTTGACTTCATTTCTGTAAGAATATTTGACAATGAACAGAGGTTTATATTTTTTTATTAAAAATATTTCATTTGACCTCACCATCATGGAGATCAGAGGCTGCTTATTTGAGCTCTTGAAGCTTTAGGCTTATAGCTTAATGGTTCTCTGACATTTATAACTGTGTTTCTAAAACTCATCAGCTATAGCAAGAAAGAGAAACTATACTGTTTATGCTTAATTGTAATTGATATAATTTCAGGTGTTAATAAGTTGATTCATAAAAATATGCAAATATAGTTGCATTAAAACTGCATGGGACAATACTACTGGCAGTCTGCTGCTCTTCATAGAAGATTCAACAAGCAATTAGGATGCAATTAATAATTAAAGTTTCATGCACTAAACATTCAAGCTCCAGCTTGCTCATATGACACACAGGCATCAAGAATCAGGATATGAACCTCAACTGTGGTTGCTAAAAAAAAAAAAAAAGCTGCATAGTTAATGCCGCAATGCATGCTGGGTGCCAGCATTGTACAAAGCTCCCAGCATGCATTGCAGCATGAATAAATTATGCAGCTTTATGTTTTTACAATCTATTTCTTTTCCTTATTTTGTGTTGTTTTTGGGAGGTGATATTTCAGTAGAGTGCTTTTTTTACTTTATTTTTTTTTTGTTTGTCACCATTATTGAGATTCAAAGACTAATTATTGATGTCTGTGTGTTTTTGAGTCCTGCCATAGATCAAACATTCTCATTGTAAATATTGTTTTTATTTTATATTATTGGAGCTTCAGTGGTTTCTTTTATGTATATTATTTATTTCTCACACATAATTAATATGATACTGAATTATAAAACAAGCAGGAAAGGATGGCTATGATATCATAAATAACCTCTTCAGACTGACACTTTAATTTTTTTTCAGCTTTTCATGCTATATGTATAAATAGTGTAATTAACACTATCTATAGCAGCCAAAATAAAAGACGTTATAACAAGAAGTTGAAGAGCTTGACTAAAGCAGACTCTGTCCTCCATCATGGTGACTTCAAATGAACAACAGAAATTTCATTAAGAGCTTTTGTTCACATGACAGAAATAAAGTCAAAGGTCAGTAATAGGTGAAGCTCCATGATAAGTTGTTTAATTTGATGAGTTTTTTAAAGATGTTGAAAAATAAAAATTTTTATTGTGTAATTTGTTTTATTTTTATTGATTATTATTTTATTTAGAGTTTTTTTTTTTCTCAGTTGATTTCATCTTTGGTTTTGGCTTGTGTTTTTCTGTCCTTCAGTGATTCTGCTTGTTAACAGTTGTTCATCAATAATTCTCAATCCTCCTTTAATTAGACACTTAATTGTCTCATTAACTTCACTGTCTGAGTGTTCAGCCCTCTGTAGTGAGGACACTAGTGAGGATTTTGCTCTGGAATTTAAGGCTTATGTGTGTTTGAATGAAAAATACAGACTATGGGATGTATTTTTAACAGAAATATTCTGGAAACTGAATTTACGAATCTAAAATGTTAAAAAACAGCAGATTACTGGCAACCACTGCTGCCAGTATTTTGACATACATTTAACAGATATTTTACACAATAAGAGTTTGCTAATTAACACTCTGGGTGTTAAAAATTTTAACACTTTCAAAAGTGTTATTTTAACACTTATAGTGGTTCCCATATAAACACTGAGGGAGTGTTAATTTTAACTCTAAGGTAGTTAAATCTACTAAATCTAAAATTTGCAGTGTGAGATCGATAAAAAATACAGACTGTTGAATGTGCTTTAACAGAAATATTCTGTAAACTGAATGTATGAATGTTAAAAACAGCAGATTACTGGCAACCACAGCTGCTGGTATTTTTCTGTAAAATCTAAAAATGAAAAACAAGAAAGAAAAACAGCAAAACGGTTTTTGTGTCACCATTGTGGAGGATAGTAGCGTCTCTTTTCATGTCCAAGATGAACTAAGAAAATTTGATGTTATGCTGCATCTTCTTTTGTTTAAAGGTAACTGTGTAGTTACTAATGCAGTCAAAATCTGCTAATTGCAATCACACATGAAAACATTATTGCATCTAAAGACTTTACTTTTTTTGCACTAAGCTATAATTTTGTAAACTGAACATTGTATTAGTTCATGAAATATGGTTATTTTTGTAAATTTATACAGTTATATAAAACTTCCATGTTTTTCACAGAAAGATTCTGGCAACCACAGCTGCTGGTATTTTTTCGGAAATTTAACAGATATTTTACACAATAAGAGTTTGCTAATTAACACTCTCTTGGTGTTGACAATGTTAACACTTTCAAAAGTGTTTTTTTTAACACTTATAGTGGTTCCCATATAAACTCTGAGGGAGTGTTAATTTTAACTCCAAGGTAGTTAAATCTACTATCTAAAATTTGCAGTGTAGGTGACCATTCCCTAAGTCTCTGTGGCAACATTATGAAGCTGCAGGCCCCGAGACCCAACCGCACACTCAGACCTGCTCGCTCAGACCAGCACTTCCAGACCTATCGTTTTCTCAGACAGTGCCACCTGCTGTTGGAAAAATTGCCTAACCTGAATTCATTGATTTATAAATTGTAAATTACACTATTTTTCTACTATAAAATATTGCACTATGATTGAATACATTATTATATAAAATATTAAACATACTAGATTATGATTTAATGCATTAAGTCTGTTGTATTTTAATTAACTGTATTTGCAAATAGATATTGTTCAGTTACTTAAATATTTTCAGTCATTTATTGTTTTTGTTGTTGTTTTTTGTTTTTAAATCATTAAGGATTTATCAAACTCTTTAGTATTGAGTTGAGGGAATAAACATTATCTTATTATTCACAGAATAAATGATAGTACTCTGAGTAATTTTCTCACACCAAACTTTATTTTTTTATAAATTTTCATGAGATCCTACAAGTCATCGAGCTGTAAAAAACGCAGAGAAAAATTGTGAAAAACAATACTTGGATTAATAATGTATTCATTACATATAAAATAAAATAAAATGCTTTACATTCTTGTTGGGGAGATTTTTCATTTCTCGAGCAATTCTTCTGTTAAATTCCTCAACTTCACTAAAAAAAAAAAAATGCTGTTGTCAGAAATTGTGTTTAACATAAAAACAGCTTTTGCACAAAAAAATGTAAACATATCTTGCGTGATAAATGGGGCCCTGGAGGAAGACATCTTCAGCCTCCTGCCAAGACAAGCCTTGTAACTCGGAAATTCCATGAGTTATGGCCTGTACAAACATACAGATAAACCAATTAATAAAATAAAACACACACTGCAGAACATAAGCATGCTCATGTACATACATGTTTTGTGATTACCTCTGGGAGGAGACATCCACAAATGAACTCCACCTCATCATTGAAGGTCAGCTGTGTTTTGGTTTTATTAAGAATCCCTCTGATGTAGTTACAAATGATTGACTGGGACTGCTCATTCTCAATGTAGACAGGCACTTGAGAACGGGGTTTTAGTGGAAACCAATTTGACCTTTTCCCGAGTATATCCTTTGGGCCATAGAAGGAAATTATATTTCATATGTAAATGCACAAGTAATTAATTATATTTGGCAAATAATAGTTAAATTGTCACTTGATTATATTTAAGTCAACCATACTTAGAGTCTAGAGGAGTAATTTAAAGTGGAACCATCTATACCACCAAATGCTGCTCTGCTGATTTTGATGTGATAATCAAGTCCACTAATCTTTAGTCATTCCTTTCCCGATCTTGAACTGCTTGGACATGTGCCGGAAGATTGGATGTGGTTTTTCTTTTCACCCTAAAAAGGGGCAGAATCTTTCCATCCAAGACACCCCACCCAGCACGAGACGTCATTTCGACGTCGTTTTTTGGGCTAAATCAAGTCGGCCCGTCATAGACTTTATTTAGCCCAAATTTCGACGTCGAAAATTGGTCTGTATTTGGTCCGTCGGATTTGGTCTAAACATAGACCAAATATCGACGTGGTCTTTGTTTTGTCCGTCGGATTTGGTCTAAACAAAGACCAAATATCGACGTGGTTGTTTTGCCCGTCGGATTTGGTCTAAACATAGACCAAATATCGACGTGGTCTTTTTTTTGCCCGTCGGATTTGGTCCAAACATAGACCAAATATCGACGTGGTTGTTTTGCCCGTTGGATTTCGTATAAACATAGATCAAATATCGACGTGGTCTTTGTTTTGTCCGTCGGATTTGGTCCAAATATAGACCAAATATCGACGTGGTTGTTTTGCCCGTCGGATTTGGTCCAAACTTAGACCAAATATCGACGTGGTCTTTGTTTCGTCCGTCGGATTTGGTCCAAATATAGACCAAATATCGACGTGGTTGTTTTGCCCCTCGGATTTGGTCCAAACATAGACCAAATATCGACGTGGTCTTTGTTTTGTCCGTCGGATTTGGTCTAAACATAGACCAAATATCGACGTGGTTGTTTTGCCCGTCAGATTTGGTCCACATTTAGCCCAGTATCAGACTTGAACATATGGTTAAAAAGAATTACATAAGTTCCTTACAAAATGTTTTACATCTATTGCTTTTTTCCAGTCCAATGTAGAATGCAAAATATATTTATATAGCAGTTTAGTGCCATTACATTTCAATAATGGCAAACAAATAACGACGTTACTGCTGTTAACTCCTTCTCTATTTTCCCTTCTGCTTCATGCACTGATGCATATACTTTTCATTTAAGTTGATTTATTAATAAGGCAAAAGATTGTAACAAATAATGTAAATTTAAATTTGAAGTATATCAACGTAAAAAAATAGATTAAATAAAATAGGGTAGAAAAAAACAAAATCGTAATACACTTTATAATGCCATTTTCTTTTATGATTTAATCTATTTATCTTATTATTAATAAATCATAAATGTACTATAATCCTATTTGCTGTAACAATAGGCTAAACAGGATGCTCATCAATACATATTTTTACAAATAAATTAAAAGGTTAAATTATTTTACAAGTTAATAATTTCTACATCAATATAAAAACCAATACCTTCATTCCTTCTTACCTCGGGGGAGCTTTTTCATATTGCCCACTCACCAGACAACAACAATACAACATTTCTTTGTGATGTGTTTCATAGTTGAGAAAGCATATAGTGTATTTAAAAACAAAAAACATGGTTTTAAAAACCCAGGCTCTTTTACAATCAATATATTAAAATGAAAAACATAAATAAAGTATTCTCTTGCTTTGCTTTGATCTTTTCTCTTACTCGCGTTGCTGCGTGTCCCTGACCTGTGTGAACAATATCGAGAGGTCAGTAAAACTGAACTCATTTCATTATGATTTGAAATCAGTGTAAAGTGCTGTCGATTGACGTGTTGTCCTTTTCCCTTTTAAATATGCCAAATTATCATATGTGATCTCCTCAACTGACAAGGGAAAAACGTCAAAAACATACTAGATGCTTTAAACTGTTCACTGCGGTAGTGCAATGCAAAATGGAAAATTTAGGATTCAATAATGAATTTTAAATAAATATTTAAATAATTTTAGTTTTAGAGTGCAGGTCGATGCACACACATAGGCATAGAGCGCTATGATAATGCTAAATGATCATATATATTTTCTACAACCAACAAGTAGAATAATATGCAAAGATTTGCTATTCAAAAATTTGTTCATAATATAAAAAATACTGATGTCCATTGGCTCTAGTGCATTAAATAATAATTAATAATAACATTAAGATTTTTTTTTTATCACAAAATATAGAAAATGGTATGTTGATATTTATTGAAGGTATCATTTCAATGTTTAAAATTCCAGCATTGTGAAAAACTAGTTACAATTATTGTAAATTTTATTATATCCATTAAAAACAATATGGGGGATTCTATATATGTTTGACATTAAAAGTAAATGTAAATTATATTAGAATTAAAGCTCTTTAAAACTGCAATTGTTTCCAGTATCTTATTTAGTTTTTATAATTCAGCTTTTGCCAATCATAAATGAATAAATGTTTTAATTTAGGGAATACAAAGATTTTTTATATTGTTTGTAAACTTACAATATGGATGAATTTAGTAATGTGTAAAAATAACACTAAATCATAGCAAGAAACCTCCTTATGGGTAATTACTAGATTGTAACTGAATTGGCAGTAACAATTTACAATTTTACAATTTCTTTAGCCGAACATTCTACTTGCTATAAATGCTAAGATCACTTGACACTGAAATCAGGATTAAAATATTTTTTTAATTGTCCAATATGTGATTTTTATTAGCAGTATTATAGTTATATGCATATATATTTTTTTAAATAAAAAAATTATTATAATTCTATATATTCTATTTATATTCTAATATCATACAAATAATATAAATAAATAAATAAATAAATAAATAAATAATGAGGCTATTTATTATAAAATGAAATGTAATATTTATTATTTTTTAGAAATGAAAAAAATCATACTTTGATAATAATAATAATATGATAATAATAATATAAATAATTATGATTGTTATTATTTTTATATTATTATTATTATTATCAATAATAATAATATTAATAATAATAATAATAATAACAATAATAATATTGTTGTTGTTGTTGTTGTTGTTCTATTTGTTATTATTAGGATTTTTTTTTAAGTCTATTTTTACAATTTCATACATGTAAACCACTGCAGAAAGTTCTAACCGGCAGGCCCATTTCATATACAGTACATACTTAATAAATAACTTACTATAAATTAAAAGAATTAACGTATGCTTTTTGTTTTCACAAGCTTTGGAGATGTAACATAAATTCCGCTTTTTAATAAAAGGTCACCTATAGCTTTCGCCATGAGGCTGTGTTCAAAATGACATCAGTGTTTTTAAAGTGTACTGCAAAGGGAGCACAATTGTAAACATGAAGATCGCTAAAACTGAGTTGTAAAAATAGTTTGAAAGCAAATTACACCCAAGAAAGATGATCTTAATGCTTTTTTTATATTCAATAATTCCAACTTTGAATGTTAGAATGTTCTAAATGAATAGACCGTAGGGGGGATAAGTGGCAATAAAACACAGCCAGGAACTCTTCTGCGCGAGTCAGCGTGACGTGCGTGCGCGGGCTCATCATTTGAATTAAATAACGGACACAAGCAACGGGCGGAACGGTAATCAAAGGTAAGTAAGTTACGATATTCGACGTTTCACATGTTTTATTTGTCGTTTTACTTATAATTTATGTTGAATTGAACTTTAGATGTGTAACGTTTTACATTATAATAATTTTTTAATGAACACTTAACCACTTTATACGTTTTTATGTCGCCCTGTAGTGACGAGGTCATTGACAGCAGCTAATGAATAATAGCTGTTTTGGTTATTTATTTGGCGATTTCAGCAAAATTACTTAATTTTATGTCTTCATTGCTTTCTAACCTGTGTAAAAATATAAGATGATCTGTTAAATCGACTTGGAATGAGCATAAAATATTGCTCCGGCTATAACGTCTAAGGCTAACTTAACGTTATAAGAATTAAGCACTTCGCAAATAGCATTAATGGTGCTTATCATCGAGCTAACATTTTTTAACATGTAATAATCCTAACAAAGTGAATCGCTGTCGGTTCACGGTTTTGTTGCTCTGTTTGTAAATTTAGTGATGGTCTCCTCGCCAGAGAAGCTAGCAGCATTCAATGGGGAAGCTTTGCTATTTCGTAAGTTGTCTAACGTTACCCTATCGCTAGTCAAGTTAATTCTTTGTGGTTTCATTCTTTTCTGATTTCCTTTGTTCACAAACCATGCTTGTCTGTTTTTTTCTGATTGCTGTGCTATGTTCTGGTGTAAGTTTTTTTTTTTCCTGTTTATTAAAAATAATTTTGTCTACATCCTTCTCTTTCGATTCACGTTACTGCAGTTTACTCATAAAAGTATCTTTAAAAATGTTTGTAAACGCATTCATTTTTTTAAAAATTATATCATGAAGCTTTTTATAATTTCACAAGGAAATGCAATCAAAACAAGATGATTGAATTTCTCACAAAATACCATGCAACTTAATATACTGAGTGAGGAGTCAAAATTGTGGCTAGTTT